CCTGGCACCGACCCCGCCCCTCCCTGCCAGCGGGGTGCCAGGTGTGGTGACGTCACGCCGTCGTCTCTGCGGACTCGCGTGGGAGCTTCGTGAGCTTTCAAGAAACCTTACACGTAACTGGCAGTCATCGACACTAAATTGCCCTGCGGTTTGGGCCCAGCAAACCTGGATTCTGAGCTCCGTGGCCGACCTGTCTGCATCCCGGTTTCCGGGGTTTACAGTCCGGAGTGGGGGGGCTGCAGAAAGCAACAGCTGGTGGACACCCACGCCACTCTCCTGCATGCCTGCCTTTGCCAGCTTCCAGGTCTTCTGCTATCTTCATGAAGGTTGCACATGGTGGTTTTAAAACAAGAACTGCCAAACTCACAAAGTCCAAAAAGGAGAAAAGAACAAATCCGACGTGCGTGCCAGACCAAGATGTGGACTATGTGGTGCTGAGATTGTGGAACAGGGCATGTCTGCTTTTCAGTCTACGATTATTTATTTTTATGTTTATTATCTCCTACCAAACAAAAAAAGCTGATGTGCACACCTTATCCTGATGACTACACTCTAGGAGATGAGACGGGAGCGTACAAAGATAATAAACAGGGAGGGAAATGCCTCGGATGCCTCAGATTTTAAAGGAAAATAAATTGCTCTGGGCAATATGATTTGCACAGCAGTTTGAGGAAGACAGAAATTCCGCCTGGAGGAGTCCTGGGTGTGAAGATGGAATATTCCTAACCTGATAAGAAATCTGTGTGGCTGGAGCAGAGCCTTAGAAAGGAGACCGAGCCCCGTGTGATGGTGCACAACTGTAGTCCCAGCTTCTATGGGGCCTGGGGTAGGGAAGCAGGGACATTATAGTGAGACTTAGACTCCAAAGCCAAGCTTTTGCATTGAGATATGTCCCCGGACCTTTCTCGAAATTATTCTGAGATAGGACTTGAACTTACCATCTTCCTGCTTCAGCCTCCAAAAGTGTTAAAAGTAGACGCTTTACAGTTTGGGGGGCCGGGCATGGTGGTGCACGCCTGTCATCCCAGTACTCCGGAGACTGAGGCAAGAAGATAGCTGTGAGTTCAAGGCCAGCCTGGGCTTCCATAGTAAATTTAAAACCAGCCTGAATTACGTAATTACGTAGAAAAAAGTTTGTGAAAATAAGGCTGGTGAGAGGCAAAAGAGAATTCATTGAAAAAAAAAAAGAAAAAAGAAAAAATATGCTATTGGAGGAGATTTGCTAGGTTTTTGGAGTCCTGAATATTCCACCTATCTGTTCTCACACTTCTTTTTATTTGAGGGCAAATGGGTTAACACTACTCTACTCGGGTCTACCCAGGTGCTTTCTCCCCCCACCCTACCCCCAGCATGGAGATCTGGCATCCAAGAGAGTATTAGGTTATCTGTACAAATGAACAGCCATCATTTCTCCCTAGAGCTTTCTTAGGAATTAATTAGAAGATATCTGCATTGAAAAACCACCTTCTTCCCTTCTGGGAAAAACTATGTACCAGAAAAACTTTACTAAAAGAATAAATGTTCGCTACATTGGCTTATTTGTACAGTATCCACATAGTGCAAGTGTTGCAAGCAACTAATTCTTTTTGTTTGTTTGTTTCTTTGTTCTTAGTTACAAAGTACTAGGTTTCCTGAGTGGTTTCTTTATTTTGTTTTGGTTTTTGTTATCTGGTTTGGTTTGGCTAATGTACAGTATGCTTAAACTTGTATAACCTGGGCTTTAAAAATCATTCTTTGGAAAACAATTGCAGGACATTATAATCTCAAGGCCAGTGCCTGTACTGTGAGGTCATTAACACTGAAAAATTCCCTGGTCAAGCCAAGGACCCTTCAGATTGTGACAAAATTCTGTTAACCCACCAGCAATTTGGGGGATGTGCTGAGACATCGAACCACTCTAAGCACTTTTCCTTCTTGCACAGTAAGTTGGGTTTTTGGTTTTTTTGTTTTTGTTTTTGTTTATTTGGTTTTTGGGGGGGCTTTTTTTTCCTCATTGAGTTTATTGGTACATTTTAGGTATACAGTAGAGTTACATTCATTATTGGGATCTTCTGCCTTTCTTTACATGACAGGTCTTGGTTCTTGCATAGTAAGTTTAATTAAAAACATGACTCCACACAAATGGATCACTGCTTTGCCTACAGAAGGGAAAATTTTAATGATGTTATTTGCACTTCAATCAGATGCCAGTGTCATCGAGCTAGAGCTGGCATAAGAGAGACAAGTCATGGGAGCCGCAGCGTTCCTCAACAGATGTCTCTTTCAAGAAAGTCTCCCACTATCCCACAGCATTAGAGCTGGACCCTTTTCTGAGGTCACACTTTATTTCCAAATGACAAATATGTTTGCATTTTTCACATAACAGACCACTGATATTTATATTATGTGAAGAATTTCCAGAGCTGGGCAAGGGGTTGCATGCGTATAACCCCAGCACTCTGGAGGCAGAGGCCAGAGCCCAAGTTTGAGCCCAGCCTAGACAATGTAGTGACTTAACAAGACCCTGTCTGAAAACGAAAATAAAAATGTTAAAAAGGCTGAGGATGTAGCTTAGTGTGAAGGCCCTAGGTTCAATCACCAGTATTGAAAAAAAAAGAAACAAAAAAGACAAAAGAGGAATTGTTCTTTAAAACAGAAACCCAAGGGAGCTCTCAGCAGAGGAGTCATCTCTCCATCCACAGCCACCAGCTCCTGCCCACCCCCCCTGGGCGCATGTGCGCATGTGCGATGTTCTAGCATGGCATTAAGCCCTGCTCAGATTACCGTATTGCTCTGCGTCTGCCCACCTGGCCGTGAACTGCTTCTGAAACAGGAAGTGGGAACCTCATTTCAGATCCCACTTCCTCACTGCACACGAGGGTTGCAGCCATCTGACCCTGGAGCTTTCAAACTGCATGTTTGTCCTCTCCCTCCCTCTCCTCCTTCCAGGGCAGGGTTTGGCTGGCATTAGTTTGCCTGCAGAAGCACAAGCAGCCCATAACCTACACCATTCACCCCTGCTTCTGAGAGCGCACATTCCAGCCCACTGGGTCTGGCGACTCCCACACCAAACTAGCCCTGCTGTGGCCCCGAGGTACCTCCCAGCCTCCCTGTCCGCCCGCACCTCCTCCGCCAACAGCTGCTTTTCCTGAGATCTCTCATCAAAGGGCTGCTTCTAGGGATCCACCGGCATTTCAGGCTCCTTACCCTGAGGCTTATACCAACATTTTCACTTTATAATCAGAGAAACTGGGTCATTCTAAATGGCCCCTGCACTCTGTGCTCACCTTCTTTACAGAGTTGCTTCTTCGATGTAGAATCGTGTCCTATTCCCCATGTCCTCTTTCTCTTTCTCACATCAAAAGTTATGTCCCTGAGCTGAGTGGGGTGGCTCTGGCAGGCTGAGGCGTGAGGATTTCGAGTTTGAACCCAGCCTGGGCCCTTAAGGACTTAACGAGACCCCTGTTTCAAAATAAAAATAAAAAAAGAACCAGGGATATCACTCGGGGCCAAAGCTCTAGATTCACTGCCCAATAGAATGAATCAATCAATGTATACCTGTGATTTGGGCTGACAATTTTACGCTTAGCCACCTTTCGCCATCTTCATCCCCTCAGGTGGTCCCTCAACATCCTCCTTCTCTCCCCTTCCCATCCTTTTCTCTATTGTAGCCTATCTCTCTTAAATCTGAAGGTTGCCAATCCAGTTTGCCCGGTTCGGTAATCCCCACAAGGTAGCCTCTTTGACCTTCTAACCCTCTCCCTCCACACTTTCACAGAATGAAACTAGAATAAAATAGCCAAGCACTCCGCGAATCAGCAGCAGCCGCAGCAATCTCAGAGGCCTGCAAAATACCCGGTGGTGTGGGTAACACTGTTTCAAGTTTGACCACATTAGCAATATTGAAATCAGATAACACCCTCTGACCATTTTGTCTCAAATACTTTGTAACCTCAGGGATGCAGCTGTCATTGCAAAGCTGTAAGGAGCTGGTTTACCCCAGTGTGAAAGAAGGAAGCTGAGGGGCTCACTTAACTCATTTAGGATTCAGGTCTCATTCCAGTGGGGACGTGCCAGCCTCTGGGTGATTTCTTCGTTTGATGAGGAGCAGAGTGGAGTGGAGGTGGAAGGGCAGGGCATCCCCTCTTGTAGTTTGCTGAAAGGATCCTGCAGGAGTAGGTCTGCTACAAACTGGAGACCTGGGACTGCTTTCCATCCCTCTTTGGCTTCATGAAGACTTCTCTTCAACAGGCACTGTGTCTGGGCCCTGCACAGAGGAGTGAAGAAATCCGTCCAGGAGACGCTGTTCCCGCCCTCAGTAAGTGCAGGATCTGAAAAGGGGGGGTCGAGTTTCACCACAGCACATGGTAAATCATCCATACTTCTTCTCCTAGAGCACTCCTCTCTGGAGTGGGATCTCTCCATCCACATCAAACTCATGCTGATACCTCTGCTCATATATTTGGTGTATTTCCTTTAGTACAGTAGCTACATATTTTCAGATGACTTTCATCTCCTTTATACGGGTGAAGTCCTGAAGACTGGGACTGTCCCTCTCATCTCTACATGCATGCCAGCCTGGCACACGAGAGGCTCCTAGGAGCTCAGGGGTAGCGCGTTGCCAAGAGTGTACCCAGCCTTGGGTCTGAGCCCTAGAGAGTGCCCACTTCCCCATTAATTAATATATTAAATTTAGTAGTACAAAGAAGGCAAAATTATTCCTCTGGGTCTCTGAGGTGAAAAAAAACAAGGTTAAAATGATTAGAAGAGATTCTGCTTTTCAATGAATGATGCTCACTCTGTAACAGATTCTCCTTGGAGATAATTGTCCAAGACTCACTGCCTGTGATGAATGTTAAATTGAGTGTTTCATTATCTTTTTTAGTGGAGACAGTCCCTATTAAACAACCAAGTAATCATCTTAAGTTAATTTCTACATAATTGAATTCTATTAGAAGTACTATGCTGGGGTGAGCCGTGTAATGGGGGAATGAATAGGATCAAAATACCCTGTATATATGAATTGCAAATGGGAAAGTGAAGGAGGAAAGAACAGGGGACTGATAAAAGGGGAAATGATCAAAATACATTATGTGTGGGTACAAATCTGACAAAATGAAACCCATTCATCTGTACAGTGACCTCAGTTCACAAACTTGATTCTACCATTCTGGCTCCGACTGGACTAGACGAGAAATGAGTCAAATTCAAGGGTTAGGTTCAATATTGACTGTATGAGAAATTCTGATTCAGTTCTCATCAGTTTAGTTTGCAAACAGAATCCTACAGAGAATTGAGTTTGT